GGGGGGGGGCTATGGACCAGCCACCCTCAGCTTTCTGTTTGACATGCTGCCATTTGCTGGTTTCAAGGAATAAAAATGTTCTCCTCTCCGTGAAGTGCTGCCTCTCTCTCCTTGCGCTCCAAAGTGCCTGGCACCGGGTTTAAACCAACCTCGAACTGCCGGGGCAGGATGAGCCCTGGGCCTGACGGAGCATCCCACGTCAGCTGCCTCAGGGTCTGACTCCTTCCCCAGGGCCTGGCTCCGGCCGCAGGCAGTGATGGGCTGGAGGGACCCTGGGTCCAGCCCACTTGGCCCTTTCCCCGGTGTCTCCCTGTTTCCCTGATTCTCAGAGACCTGACCCCGTCCATTTCTTACGCCCCGCAATGGAACCCCCTTCCCTAGGCCCTGTCTGCGGGGGGCCACGCAGGGGCAGCCTGGGCCAGCCCGGACCACTGAGCCCTGCTCTGCTCCGGGGGATGCAGCGGCCCGGTGTGCAGGCATTCTGAGCAGGCCCAGCAGTTTCTGGGGTGGGGGGGAACTGTGGGCCACGGGATGCTTTGCCCGCGGGACAGGAAGTAAGATGAGGAGCCGATGGGCCTGTCTGACCCTCAGGGTATGTCTAGACAACAGGGTTTTGTCGACAAAACTAGCCCTGCCTCTGCACTACCGCCGAGTTCTGTCACCATAACGTCGACAGAAGGCGGCAGCTTTGTCGACGGTGGTAAACCTCATTCTACGAGGAATAGCGCCTTGTGTCGACAGCGTTCTGTGGACAGAGGGCGCTATTGCATCTACACTGTCCTTGCGTCTACACTGTCATGTCGGCAAAGCGGCTTTGTCGACAGAACTGCCTGTCTAGACGCTCTTTGTCAACAGAAGCTTTGTTGGCAGTGTCTGTTGACCAAGCTTCTGTCAACAAAAGCCTGTAGTCTAGACGTACCCTCAGCTCCCAGACTGTGATGCCGGGCCCAGGTGTGGTGTGCGGACAGCGGTGACCTCCAGTCGGCAGAGGCAAAGCTCAGGGACCAGAGCCCCGGCCTGGCAGGAGGACTTGGAAGGGAAGTTCCCTGGGGATCGCTCTGCAGTGAGGACGGTCGGGGAAAGCCCCATGAGGAAATGAACCGTGTGTAGAGCAGAGTCCGCACAGCCTGGGCCCCGAACTGAGCAACCAGCGCAGAGGGGCCCATGGACTAGCAGCTCGGTGAGTGCACCGGTAGCTCTCCCATAGCCTGTCCTGCCCCCCACACACGCTCCAGGGGGATTGACACTATTTACCCTCAGCTTGAGCTCACTTGGAGCCCCATCCCTGGGCACTGCGGGAGGCAGGGGCCCGGGGAAGCCAGGGTGCCTGCGGCACGATCCAGGTGGCGTTCAGCAGTGTCCTAGCATTCTTCCAAGGCGCGGGTCTTGCGTAAGGAAAGCTGAGACCCCACCTCGTCCTCCCTGCCTCCGAACGGCTCCTTCCCTCCCAAAGCTCCGCACCCAGCCTCAGCTCCCGGTGCAGGAACTCAGGGCCCAGGGGTGCTAGACGTGGGCTCCCGGATACCCAGGGTTCAGTTTGGTTCCGTGGCTCTCAGTGCCCCTCTGTGACTTTGGCCCCCTTCCGCTCAGCTGTGCTGGGAGCGCTGGCCGCTGTCCCTACAAGGCTGCACCAGCGCCGGGCGCGGCGCAAAACGCCTGGGCCAGGGCCTCTCAGAGCGTTGTGGCAGAGGAGAGAGGGCTGCCGCCCAGCCCCGCCTCCTCCCAGTCATTGCGGGAGCAGATGTTTTAGACAAACAGCCTGTCCTGATTCCAACGTGGCAGTGGTGGAGCCCCACCCCCAGGTAAATGGTTTCAGTGGCTAATGACTCTCGCCACTGCAAACCCGTGTCCTGTTCCAAACTGCACGTCCATGCGCCCCTCTGGGCACATCACTCCCGGGGAGCGGGGGAACCTGAGCTTAGTGCCCACGTGGAGGGAAGGGATTTGCATCTCGAGTCGCGGCGACCACGGCCGAGCCAGGTGCGGTGGCTGGAGCTGCCGTTAGACAGGGCAGACAGGAGAGACGCGCTGCCTTTGGATCGGTGTATAGACCAGCTGTGGGAGCAGCATCCGGTGGGGCTCAGGGACCCACAGCCCGTCGACAAGGGCGGGCAAAGGGGCAGATGTCCCAGGGCCCAGCGAATCTAAAGGGCTGCCGGCCGCTGCTGCCACAGTGTCTGTAGAATGGCCACCAGAGGGCCAGGTGGGTCTGAGGGGAGGGGCAAACAGGCCACCTGGATGGCATAGCCCCGCCCCTTCTTTCTGAGGCCCCACCCCTGACAGGAGTGCAGAGCTGGCTCCTCTGGGTGTCAATCATCACCACTTGGGGGCTCTCTCAATAGATGCTCCAGCATCCTAGAACCCCAGGATGGGCAGAGACGTCAGGAGGCATCGAGTCCAGTCCTCTGCCCACGGTAGGACCAGCCCCAACGAAATCAGTCCAGCCAGGGCTTTGTCAAGCAGGGATGGAGATTCCACCCCTCCCCAGGGAACCCAGCCCAGCGCTTCCCCACCCACCTAGGGAAACAGCTTTTCTTAATCTCCAACCCAGACCTCCCCCTGCAACTTGAGCCCATCACTCCTTGTTCTGCTGCTCCCCACCCCCGAGAACAGCCTCTCGCCAGCCCCTTTGGACCCCCCTTCAGGGAGTCACAGGCTGCTCTCAAATCCCCCCTTGCTCTTCTCTGCTGCAGACTACACAAGCCCAAATCCCTCAGTCTCTCCTCCCAAGCCATGTGCTCCAGCCCCCAGCTGCTGGGCCTGCTGGTGTCAGTGTGCTCTGGGACTCCTTCCCCTGCAGAGTTTGCTGCAAGACTCCTTTCTGGCCCTGGGAGCAAGGGCAGCGCATGAGAGGGTCTCATTAATTAAATAACCTTCAGCTATGTGATGGGAGCGGGCCCAGGTCACCTGACTCCTCCTGCCCGTAAATAACACAATTGGCCTCGCGCTGCTGTACCAGGGATGTGGCTTTATTCCATGGCTGTTGCCGACAGTTCAGTGCCTGCAGCACAGCACAGGGGCACTGGCGGGAATGGCCCATTGCCAGGCCCCTCGCCAGGAGTGGTGCTCACGACAGGCTGGTAACGTACTCACGAACCCAGGCATCGCTGGGGTTGGCGCAGATCAGGCGTCCCTGCCTCGTGGTAAACCTGTGCAGTGCGAAATAGATGTCACAGCAAGCGGGGCTCTGTGGAGAACCAATCGCCCCCTCTCCCAAATGCACCCTCAGCAATTCCCCCGCAGAGCCCAGCCGATTTCTTTCCTGCTGGTCTTTCACCCCGGAGGATTCTCTGTCAGATCCTCCTGCCGACCCTCTGTAGCCCACCGGCCCCACGTACTGATGCCTTTCCGTCCTCGCACTTCCTGACCCTCCTCACAGCCCTCGATAGGAGCCCTGCTAGGCCCTTAGTCCTTTTTGTCCCACAGCACCTTAGAGACGAACAGCGATACATAGTGTCAGCAGCTTCCACGGGCAAATGCATGAGCCACTCCAACCCATCTGATGAAGTGGGTTTTACTCACAAAAGCTTGCGATGCTCCATGTTTTTGTCAGTCTCTAAGGGTGTGTCTAGACAACAGGGCTTTGTCGACAAAAGTGGACTTTTGTCGACAAAACTAGACCTGCGTCCACACTGCCTTTGAGTTATGTCGACATAACGTCGACAAAACTCAGCAGTTTTGTCGACGTATGTAAACCTCATTCTACGAGGAATAACGCCTTTTGTTGACAGAGTTCTGTCTATAGAAGGCATTATTGCATCTACACTGTCCTTTGCGTCCACACTGTTATGTCGACAAAGCGGCTTGCTTTATCGACAGAACTGGATGTAGTCTAGACGCTCTTTGTTGACAGAAGCTTTGTCGACAGTATCTGTCGACAAAACCCTGTAGTCTAGACACACCCTAAGGTGTCACAAGACGGCTCATTGTTACAGATGAACACGGCTCCCCCTCTGAGACGTAATACTTTTTGCAACAGTTTCTCTGCTCAGAGCTTGGGGGCCATGTTTTATTTTCCTCCTTAACCTCCTCTGCCCTCCCGGGAGCTCTTCCAGACGAGAAAAGCTGGGTTAGGGTCAGAGTGAAACTGAGACTTTCTAGCCCATGTCAAATCGCAACATTTATTTTCATCCCAAGTCGGAACAAAGCATTGGAATGGCAACATTTTCATGGGGCAGAAATTCCAATAAACCTCCATTTTCAAATAACTCCCTGGTTTGTTCCCCCATCAAGTGAAAGAAAGAGAATCCGCGGCGTTTGACTTTGGTTCCTTGAATGACCCTAAAGATTTCGGATTTTGGTTTCTCATTGGGGCATGTTGCCGCATGGCAGTTGTAGTTAAGAATCTGGTGCCCTCGATTGCTCCCCGGTGGACTAGTGTCCATGGCTGGACCACGTTTTTTGTCATGGAACCAGAGTCTGGTTTCACTATAGAGAACTTGGTCAGAGGGAAATCAACATTGCATCATGGGTGAGATCGTCCTCTGCCGGTTATAGAGCATAGAACGCTAGGACTGGAAGGGACCTCGCGAGTCATCAAGTCCAGTCCCCTGCCCTCCCGGCAGGACCAAGCACTGAGACCACCCCTGGCAGGTGTCTGTCCAACCTGCTCTTAAAAGTCTCCAGAGATGGAGATTCCACAACCTCCCCGGGCAACTTATTCCAGTGTTTAACCACCTTGACAGGCAGGAAGTTTTACCTAATGTCCTGGTTCTGCCATCTGCCACCACTGCGAACAGCCTCTCTCCAGCCTCTTGGGAGCCCTCCTTCAGGGAGTTGCAGGCTGCTCTCAAATCCCCCCTCACTCTTCTCTTCTGCAGACTAGACAAGCCCAGCTCCCTCAGCCTCTCCTCCCAAGCCATGTGCTCCAGCCTCCAGCTGCTGGGTCTGCTGGTGTCGGTGTGTTCTGGTGAACAGTGACTTCTTCCCCTGCAGAGTTTGCTGCAAGACTCCCGTGGGCGAGAGGACGGTGCATGAGAGGGTCTCATTAATTAAATAACCTTCACCTTTGTGATGGGAGCGGGCCCAGGTCACCTGACTCCTCCTGCCCGTAAATAACACAATTGGCCTCGCACTGCTGGACCAGTGATGTGGCTTTATTCAACCTCCCTGGCTGCAGTTGAAGCCAATTGCTTCTTGTCCTGTCCTCAGAGGCCAAGGAGAACAATTTCCCCTCCCCCTCTCTGTGACACCTGTTGTATATTGGGTTGTAGATGTAGATCTTGTTGTAGTAATTGAGTTGTCACTGGGGTCAGCCCAGCTGGTTTGGGCTTGTTCTAGTTAGTTCTGTGCTATGCAATAAAATGGACACTTCCAACTACTCCAGCTTTCTGCCTTTCCACTGATTTCTTCCTATTCTGAAACTCCAAATGACACAACAACACCCTTGTAGATGCCTGAAAACCGCTCTCCTGGCCCCTGTCAGTCTTCTCCTTTCCAAACTACACAAGCCCCATTTCTTCAGCCTTCCTTCATCGCTCATGTTCTCTAGACCAGTGTTTCTCAACCTGTGCTCCGCAGAGCCCCAGGGCGCTGCGAGATATCTCCAGGGGCTCCGCGAGGCTGACAAACTGGAAACATCGATAAGTACAGCACATACAATGAGTGGACCGCTGGGGCTCCTCATACATTTTTACGCATGTAAAGGGCTCCGGAGCCCAAAAAGTTTGAGAACCGCTGGTCTAGCCCTTTAATCATTCTCGTTGCTCTTCTCTGGACCTTCTCCAACTTCTCCACAGCTTTCTTGAAATGCGGTGCCCAGAACTGGACACAATGCTCCATCTGAGGCCCAATCAGCACTGACCAGAGCGGAAGAATGACTTGGTAAAGCCCACAAGACAGAATGGGGGCTTGAACTACAAGCAGAGGAGTTGACAGACATGCTGGGCCCTCGGTGCTCCCAGAAGGGGCGGAGCCTTGGGCAGAAGGGGCGGGACTGGAGGCAGCCAGTTTCCGACCTGCCCAGAGAGTGTTGCCTGGCACCCTGGCAGTGATTTAAAGGGCCCACGGCTCCAGCCGCTGCTGCAGTAGTCACCAAGCCCTGGAGCAATTGCCCTTTCTCCCAGCCCCCATCGGCAGGCCTGACTACAAGTCCCATGAGGCAATGCTCTGCTAGGCAAATCCAGTGTAATGTTTTATTGTGCTGATTCAGAACAACACACCTCAGGCCAGTGAAAGAACCCAAACGTTGCAATGTGGGTCACACACACACACACACACAGTGCACCCAACATATACACAGCATCCAGCACACCCCCACTCCGCTCTCTTCCTGCGGCTTGGAAGTCTGTACTTACACTACACCTGGCTGGGAGCACATGCCTCCGGTGAGAAAATAACCGACGAGCAAGCTGCGCGGGATCCGCCGGCGTATGTAGCTGAAGCAGCAGTCGGTGGGAATCCCCGAGCTCTCTGGAAGAGAGGGAAGGAACCGATGTGCAGTTCTGTGCCCTGAGCGCGATGCAGGCAAAGATGAGCGCTGGGGGGTAGGGAGAAGAGGCCCCCAGCAGTGAGGTGCGAGGACGGGGGCAGGAGAAGGAGGAAGGGAAAGGCAGGGAGCATTTGGGTTCCTCTCTTTGAAGGAACTACTCAGCTGTTTGGCACCTTGCTGGGCTGCAGGCTTCATCCCCCCAGCCCTCCCCCCTCGTCCTGTCTGGAGCATCGAGACGCTGGTGGCTCTGGATCTGACATGGGACGGGGTCCCTGAGGCTGGGAGGAGCTGGCACGAAGAGCTGCCTCACAGCTACGACCGTTCTCCTTGCCCGACTCACTTGCAAAGCTCCGGGGATCGATGGAGACCTGGGAGCCGCAGGTGGTGCTGAGGAGAAGGACCAGGGCAGCCATGGAGACCTTCATGTTGCCGTCAGCTAGGGCTGAGCTGAAGGATCTCCTGGACACCCTTCCTCCTCCGGTTCTGCCCCTCAGCCCGCCCTCTCTCTCAGCACGGGGAGCCGCAGGGAAGGGGTGGCTTTCTGGAGAAGGAAGCTTGGTTTTTATTCCAGAGACGCAAGGAGTGACCCGAATTCTTCCGAACTGAGACATTCAAATGCCTTCCCAGAAACAGGCGGAGTAAGGCCAAGCTGGCTGCATGTGCTGGCCAGCGTGCGCCCTGGAAAGCAGCCGAGGCAGGGAGGGCGGAGCTGCTGTGTTCTGCGTGGCCGGCTGCTGCTGGGGGAACTGACCTGCCTTGGAATGGCAAGTGGCTAGTGGAGTGGGTGAGCCAGGGCCGAGAACTCAGTCACCTCCGGCTCCCTGGTGCAAACCCAGGCCAGGGCGGGAGGGGCGAAGGCCTTGCCATGAGGTCTCTGGGGCACCTGTCTCCTGACATGGCTGAGAAGCTGGGTGCGGGTGCTGGCTGGTGACGTGTTGAACACAGCACACCCTGCAGCCTTCCTCCCCGGGACGGGCACTAGCACATGGGGCCAGGACGTTGCCCGGCCGCTGCCTCGCCAGAAATCCCAGGACCAGACTCTGTGGGATGGCACGCTGCCAGCTCTTCCCTCGCCTGCTGGGGAGGCCGTCCTGGGGAGGTCTCTCCGGGCGCAGCCCAGGAACACGAGGGGACCCGCGGGCTCGTGGTGTCCGTTGGAGCTGGACGCGACAGCACCCGGAGGTGTTGAGAGTGGCAGGGAGAGCAGGAGACTCCCCGGAACTTGTGATTTCCTGCATCGTGGCTTTGGAGCTGGTGGGCACCTGTTGCAATTGCCGCTGTCATCCCAGGGAGGCTGGGGTGTCCATGGCCTGGGTGTGTATTCAGGGGCGCTGCACTGACCCGGAGACGCCTGCAGCTCTGGATTGCTATCGGCCTGTGGGCAGTCCTTCAGGCACTGGAAAATCCGGGGGGCTGTTGTTGGCCAAGTGTGTAAGTGTCACAGCGTGCGCCTCATGACAATGCCCTGTGCACGCTGGGATACTCTCGTGTGAGAGATCAGTCCAGACTGAGCAGTGGCACCAGAGCAGCACGCACGGAGCGGCACTCGCTGGAACTTCGACACAGAAGCCGAGCACATGGTGACCGCATGTTTTCCGGAGAGCACGCTGATGCCTTGGCCAGGGCGAACAGGGCCGGTGGGCTGGCTAAGGGGCCATTCCCTGGCAGGAAGGAGGGGGCAATAAATGCTCGTCATAGCAAAGACGCTGCCCAGGTTTCCATTTGCACTTTGAAATCCACATGGAAGGGAGGGCGAGACTGTGGAAAGCTGAGTATGTCCCCACAAGGCCATTAAAGGGCACCTGCTGCAGGAACAAGTCCTTTTCCAGCGGCCCCACTGTGAGGCCTAAGGCCTTTGGCTGCAGCAGCATTTGAAGAGCCGCAGCCCTTAACTAAGAGGCAGCAAGTCACATCTCGCTGGCATGACAATAGTGCCACCAGGCTGGCCTTGCAGCACCCCGTCGGCAGAGAGCGCCACAGTCCAACGGGGGCTGGAGAGAACTGAGTGCAGCGGCGCCCTGTCCGGCGAGGAACGACTTAGCAGCGGCCGTGGCTGTGGAAGTCTCGCTCCGTCTGTAAGCAGGGGCTGAATGCAGGCTCCCTTTGCCGCCCCACTGGAATGGGCGAGAGCCCCGGGCCTGTGTAAATGCAGCTTGTCCCTGCCTTGTTCGCTGTGTGAGAGGGCAGCTGGGGGATGGTGTTGGCTCCCTGTAACCAGCCTGGCTGGTGTTGGGTCACCAGCTGAGTGAGCGCCACTGGCCGTGTGTGTAATTCTCATGGGAATACAACAGGAGAAAGTCTGAGCCTCGCCTGGCTCGAAGGAGAGAGACACTGTCAGTGTCAAGAAACATGGAGGGACGGAGGCTGCACTGCCAGAGCCGGGTGAGCTGAAACTGGGGCGGGCAGGACTCCGTGGTCTCCAGGCGTGAGCTGTCAGGCTGGCCCGGCCTGGCTCTCCCCCGACCTCCCCACAATGCTAGAGCTAAAGAAAGGCTCCGAGGTGTCTCTTCTCGTGTTTCCATTTATTCCAGCTTGGGGGGGCGGGTAGGATTTGCCATGGGAGGTGACCTCTGTGGAGCCCCCTCTGAACTCTGGGTCTGTCCTGACCAAGGGCCGTGACTGCGGGGGTGGGGGGGTTGTTTTGTCTTTATGGCCCCCTCTCTGCTGTTGTTTATCTGTCTGGGCTGGGCCTGGCTCGCTGATTGTTTCTGTCTGGGAGTGGTTATTTCGCTAGGTGTAGCCCAGCACGTTAGGGGGTGGGACTGGGGAGAGCCGGTTGTTCCAATAGGTTAGGACTGGTTAGTAAAATGTTCCTATAATAATTGGTTAAGGTGCCAATAAGCAGAGCTCAAGTTTCACTGGATAAACTGGGGTCCAAGAAGGATCCCAGCAGAACGAACCCAAACACAGGTGCTGACTTTCAAAAGTGCTGGGGTCTGTGTACTTGAGCCGCAGCTCTGTCCCGGGCCTTCGTCCCACCCCACCCCACTCCCTGCCCCATTGACCCTGCCCCACCTCTCCCCACCAGCACTCCCCTCTCTCCCCATTCTGTCCCCCTCCCCTGACTGTGCCATGTCCTCGCTCCTCCCCCTGCCATCCCCAGCCCCCCAAATACCAGGGAACAGCTGACTGGCGGTGAGAGGTGGAAGCGCTGATCTGTGAGGCTGCCATCAGCCAGGAGGTGCTTGGGGGAGAGAAAGGGGGGGCTGCCGGTGCCACTGAGCACCCACCAATTTCCCCCAGAGGTGCCCTGTCACAGCTCAATCCCCCAACCTGACATGATGTGTGCAGAGTTGGGGGCCAGCTAGCAGAATAACCTCTGCCAAACCTGTCTCTGGTTCCCAGAGACAAACCTTCAATCTCAGTCCCTCTGAGATCCAAAAAGAAAGAAAGAAGCAAGACTGGTTCTTCGCTGCCACCACCCAAGTGATTCCAAGATCATGAGGGAAGAGATCACTTGGGAATCCCCTCCCCAAGGTAAAGCTCTTCCCTGCCCAGCCTCCCTTGGAGTTGGGAAAACAGAGGAAATCCACAGACAACAATGGACTCTGCCCTGGTAACTAGGCGCTGAGTCCTAAGGACACAACAGCCAACCAATGCCGGTTAGTTAGAATGAAAAGAAAACTCTTTTATTATCAAAACAAAACTACTGTTGCAAGCATAGTAAATTGACTAGGTGATAAATAGCCATGAAGTGGCATAGACTCAGGGGAAGTCCCTAGGCTGTAATCCTTTCTTTTTCTGTTTTGTAACTATTAGCCAGCTCAGACATGATTTCCAGACCCCCAAACCAGGAAAACAATAAACCCGTTGGACTATCTGACCTTTTCCCTACGTTCACGTTTGAAGAAGTCCGTTCCTGGAGAGAGAAGCGTCTCCCATCTCCCTCAATCCCTGGGAGAAACTGCTCTGATCTCAAACAAAGAAGAGAGAGAGAAAACCCTCTTGTCCAGTTTGAAATTCCTGTCTGCATTGGTATTGGCTGAATGCCCGGACCCCCCCAGCCGATACCATTTCTAGGTACCTGAGTCACCAGGTGCTGTCACTCCTCCTGTTCATGACATGCCCCGTCGCTTTGGTAGCAGCCTCCAGGTATTTGAAGACGATTCTCTTGTCCCCCCTCCACATTGCACAGCCCAGGCCCTCCAGCTTTTCTCTCCCGTGGCTGCATCCGGCCCCTTGGAGCTTCTCTGTCGCTTGCCTCTGGGGCCTGACCAGTCCCTCCCCCGCCCGTCCAGAGGCTGGCGACCAAACTGGACTCCGTGATCCTGCAGGGCCAAGCCAACACCGGGCAGAGCAGGGCTGTCACAAAGGCTGTGCCTTTGCATAGGTTCTGTGGCCTGTGGGGAGAGGCTGGTGCGGCTGGCTCTGGGGATGTCTGGGCAAGTCAGGCAGCCCTGGGGCCAGTTGCACTGGGGCGATCTCGAGGCACCAGGGCCCCAACAGCAGCAGGAGGGGTTTGGGAGGAGGGCTCAAGGCTGGGGTGGGGGGACAGGAGGAGGGAGGCTCTGGGGAGCGCTCGCCTCAGGGGGCTGCCTGGGAGTAACAAGATGTTCCTACGGCTGGCTCTGGGGATGTCTGGGCAAGTCAGGCAGCCCTGGGGCCAGTTGCACTGGGGCGATCTCGAGGCACCAGGGCCCCAACAGCAGCAGGAGGGGTTTGGGAGGAGGGCTCAAGGCTGGGGTGGGGGGACAGGAGGAGGGAGGCTCTGGGGAGCGCTCGCCTCAGGGGGCTGCCTGGGAGTAACAAGATGTTCCTAGCCCGGAGCGCTGCCTCCACCCGCAGGCACCGGTCCGCCG